CAGCGACAGGAAGATGAGACTGTTCAGCTGTGTTCGGAGTTGCACGCGACGGGTTCTGATTTGAGCACGACGCAAGCTCAAATGGGATCACTCGAGGATTTCCTGGACGTTCTAGCGGCTGGAAACCCGCAAATGGAGATGATGTTAGCAGCAAGACAGAGAAAGTCGGGCATTTTAAACCCTGACCGCCAAGACGAGACGGACAGAAGAAACAACGGCTTCGAGAACCGCCACCCCTAGCTCTTTTTGTTTATTTTTGTTGTAATATAAATTTAAAAGCGAAAATCGCATAAAAAACCTTCAAGGTGGCAACCACTTACACTTTAAACCCTGAGAGTATTTTACAAGCACTTTAAACACTCAAGTTGGCAAATTTAGCATATTAAACCTCCAATTTGGCTTACTTGTATATCAAGTCAAAAAGGTGACCGGCACTGTTCAAAAATGATGACGTGTCGTTTTTTTAATATTTTATTAATAATAAATATAAAAATACAAAAATATATAAATTCATTAAAAATCATTTTAAAATCATTAAAAATTCAAACAAATTAATCAAAACTCAAAAAAAAATTAGAAAAACCATAAATATTAAAAAATCACAAAATAATTAAAATATTTTATTAATAAAATATTAAAAATAATAAAACCTTAAAAGAAATTATAAAAAATCCCAAAATAAGAAAATTCACAAAAATTTAAATAAAATAAAAATTAAACTTAAAGAAAATTAATATAAGAATATTAGATGAAATAAATATAAATTCCAGAATAATAATTTTATTTGTTTTATAAAAAATGAGAAAACACTATATTTTTTTAAAAAAAGAATCATTATCTTCAAATGATTCTCGTGAACCAAATCAAAGCAACAAATTAAATTCCAAGTCTTTTAGCACCTAGACTTTCACCTACATAAGTTTTTTTAAAATTATATTGTTATTTTTTTTTCGTGTCACTATTATATATTATATATATGTCATCGTATAATTAATCGTATTTGATATGTGCCATCAAATGATTCTCGTGAACCAAATCCAAGCAAACAAGTTAAAATCCAAGTCTTTTACCAGTTATTAAAATACCTTATATTAATCTAGTTATCCAGAAAACCTCGACTAATAAGCAACAAAATGAGATCAAAATGACTTGGAATTTAATTTTTTTGCTTTGATTTAGTTCACGGGAATCATTTGAAGATAATGATTCTTTTTTTAAAAAAATATATAGTGTTTTCTCGTTTTTTATAAAACAAAATAAAATTATTTCTTCTTGAATTAATATTTATTTTATCTATTATTCTTGTATTTGTTTTATTTAAATTTCATTTTTATTTTATTTAAAATTTTGTGAATTTTCTTATTTTGGGATTTTTTATAATTTTTTAAGTTTTTCTTATTTTTAATATTTTATTAATCAAATATTTTATTTATTTTGTGATTTTTTAATGTTTATGATTTTTCTGATTTTTGAATTTTTTATGATTTTTATGAATTTTTAACGAATTTTTAATGATTTTTAATGATTTTTTTAATGAATTTTCTATTATCTGTATTTTTATATTTATTTATTAGTAAAATATTTTTTTTTTTTTAGAAAAAACAAACCGACACGTCATCGCTTTTGAATAGTACCGGTCACATTTTTAACTTGATGTACAAGTAAGCCAGATTGGAGGTTTAATATGCTACATTTGCCAACTTGAGTGTTTAAAATGCTTGTAAAAAACTCTCAAGGTTTAAAGTGTAATTGGTTTCCACCTTGAAGGTTTTTTATACGATTTTCCCAAATTTAAAATTTAAATATTTATAATATTTTTTCGTTTTATTCTATTATTTTAATTTATTTTTTAAAATAATTTACATTTATATTTTATTATAATTAATTATCAATACAGAAAAAAATAAGTTTCCAAGTAAATTCGTCGTTACTTTTTCGTGGAATTAACTACGAAAATTAGCGTAGACTTTGCGAGGAAATGCTTACGTGTGAATGACGATGAAGCTTAACTATGACTTTACGAAGAAAGGTTTACGTGGCTTTACGAGGAAACAATCAACGTGTATATTACATAGAATTTACAGTGTGTCTTTTACGAGGAAACGTAGGCCTAGCTTTACGAAGAATCGTAAAGTTACGAGGTTTTAGGGAGGAAATATGTGTTACGACAAACGTGTCATGACGTTTTCAGTTTCGTGGTTATTTCCTTGTAAAACCTCATTTATGAGGAAATAACTACGAAAACAGCACTCGCTAAATATTTGTTTTCTTGTAGTGTATATATTTATATACTTATATATATATAATTATCTCATATGATAAATTTATATATAATCTATATACTGGTCTACCAATCATTAAATCGTTTAAATATTCTGCTATTATGTTTAATCTGTTTTAAATTTTCTAATTTATAATAAATAAAGAAGGTAAAAAAAATTGATAAACGTGTGTTTTACTGCGTACCAAAATTTAAATAGGCACATAGACGGAACAATTAGGGTTTTGAGCACTAATTGAGCAACCAGAAGTAGGGCTGGGACTTTTATTCAGATCCGGATTCGATCTTATATCCGCTCCGAAATTAGGATATACGGGAATGTCCGGATCCAAATCCAGATAGTAAAATCTCGGATCCGTGTAAACCGAATTCAGATCCGGATATCTTAATTTTTAGGTCTGGATATCCGGATTCGGATCCGTATTTAAAAAGTATAATTGATCAAAATAACACTTTTAAAGTTTTTGTCTCTAAAATAACACCAGAAGGAAAAAATCACAAAAATGACATTTACTAATGGGTAAAATATCTCTAATACTCTCGCTATAAATTAAAATTCACTCTAAACATTACTATCAACACTAAACCTTAAACCCTAAAAATACTAACTCTACACCTTCAACCCTGAACCCTAAAACATCAATCCTAAACCCTAAATCTTTCTAACTCATAAACCATCAACATTGAACCCTAAACCTTGAAAAAATTCTCAATCTTTAACACTAAAAAAATAACCTTAAATCCTAAACCCCAATTTTAAACACTAAAGCCTAAAGCCTAAACCCTAAACCATAGAAATAAACTCTAAACCCCAAAACCTAAGCCCTAAATCACAATTCTAACTTTAAACCCTAAACTTTCAAATCAAAACCCTAAAACATTAACCCTAAACCCTAAACCTCAATTATAAACCCTAAACTTGAATTCTAAACCTAAAATCATCAACACAGAACTCTAAACCCTAAACATAAACTCATAACCCTTAACCCTATAAAATTACCCTAAACCTTAAACCTTCAACTTTAAACCCTAAAACATAAACTCTAAATCCTAAACTTCAATTCTAAACCCTAAACCCTAAAACCTCAACTCTAAACTTTACTATCAACACTAAACCTTAAACCATAGACACTGAATTAACAAGTAAAATATAAATCGTAAACCACAGTTCTAAACCCTAAATCATCAACACTAAAATCCTAAACCATAAAAAATAAACATTATACCCTAAACTCTAAAGAATCATCCCTAAACTCTAAACCTCAATTCTAAACCCTAAACCATCAACAGTGAACCTCAAACCCTGTAAATAAATTCTAAATAATTAACACTAAAACATTTACCCTCAACCCTAAACCTTAATTCTAAACTCTAAACCCTAAAACCTCAACTTTAAACCTTAATATCAACACTAAACCCTAAACCATAACAGTAAACTCAAAACCTTAAAACCTAGACACTAAACCACAATTCTAAACCCTAAACCAAAACCCTAAACCCTAAAATATTTTTCTTAAATCCTAAACCCTAAACCCTAAAAAATCAACTTTAAACCCAAACCCCTAAAACATGAACTTTAAGCCCTAGACCCTAAAACATCAACTCTAAATCCTAAACTCTAAACATTAAACCTTAAAGTCTATCCTGAAGATTAATATATTATCTGAAAGCTCATCCTGAACACGCACATGGCTTTCCAAATTTTATAATACATTATCTTCAATCCGGAAACCCATCCTGAACACGCTCAAGGCTTTCCAAATTTTAGAATACATTATTCTGAAGATTAATATGTGAAACTCTAAACCCTAAAACATCAACTCTAAACCCTAAACCTTAAACTTTAAAGCCTAAACCCTACAAAATTTACCTTAAATCCTAAACCCTAAACCTTCAACCCTAAACTCTAAACCTAAACCCTAAAAAAATCAACCCAAAACCCAAACCCCTAAAACATGAACTTTAAGCCATAAACGCTAAACCCTCAACTCTAAACCCTAAACTCTAAACCTTAAAGTCTATCATGAAGATTAATATATTATCTGGAAGCCATCCTGAACACGCTCATGGTTTTCCAAATTTTATAATACATTATCTTCAATCCAGAAACCCATCCTGAACACGCTCAAGGTTTTCCAAATTTTAGAATACATTATCCTGAAGGTTAATATACTAAACTGTAAACCTCTAAACCCTAAAACATCAACTATAAACCTTAAACCTTAAATCATATCCTAAAAATTAATATATTATCAGGATGCTCATCATGCACACGCTCAAGGCTTTCCAAGATTTATAATACATTATCTTAAAGATTAATATATTATCCGGAAACCCATCCTGAACACGCTCAAGGATTTCCAAATTTTATAATACATTATCCTAAAAATTAATATATTATCAGGAAGTCCATCATGAACACGCTCTAGACTTTCCAAATTTTATAATACATTATCCTGAAGATTAATATATTATCTGGAAACTCATCCTTAATACGTTCAAGGTTTTCCAAATTTTATAATACATTATCCTAAAGATTAATATATTATTTGGAAGCCCATCGTAAACACGCTCAAGGCTTTCCAAATTTTATAATAAATCCCATAATCTGGAACCCTAAGATGAGACCGTTCTTAACCTTAGGCAAACCGGAAAGCTAGAAGGATACAACAGTGTTTTGGGATACGATACAACCGAGGGGAAACACAAACTAATCTGCATGCCTACTCATGAAACCTGCAGTGACTGTCGGGTTTTAACGTTAGGGTCAGGTCAAAAACATTGGAGAATAGTCGAAACCAAACATACTCACCACCCTTTCAGTGGCGATGGCAACACTGGTTTCAGTGGACGTTGCACTAATGGTGTTCTATATTATCAAGATATTTGTGGTTCCCATCGGTTTATAATGCGTTTCGATGTAAGATCTGAAACTTTCAGTGTCATAACATATCCATGGGATCGTAGCTATAAGTTTTGGAAAATGTTGATGATGATATCGTATGAAGGAAAGCTAGCTTTTGTTGGCAGTGTCAGGGGTGGAAAAAGTATTATAATGTGGGTTTTGGAGGATGGAACTGCAAGCAAATACAAGTGGTCCCACCATCGTTATTCACCTCTTTCTCACTATACCGGTCTGGATTTGCTTAAGCAGTTCAAACTCATTGGTATCTTTGTTGATGGTGACTTGATTTATGCACCAAGAGCATTTTACAATTTTTTATATATTATATATATTGATCCCAAGAAAGACGGTTAGAAGAGTTGAAGACAACGGACTTGTGAGTGATGAAGGCAATTCACTTGGAGACAGACCTCAGTATATCCCAAATCACATTGAAACTCTTTTGTCTTTATATATAACTTCCTCTCTTTTCTCTAATGACACTTTATTTATGCAAGTTTATGCTATTATATCTGCTAATGTCTTTGCATTTTACTTAGTAATACCACGTATATATTTTGTGCGCCTCCTATATATATTTTGTGATTAGGGTCCGTTTTTTAAAATTGGTTTGAAAAGCTCAACAATCTTGATGAATGATCAAAACCAACCACAACCATAGTGTTTGTGAATGCATCCTTGGTTATGTTACAAATTTCTATTCTTGTCCAGATAACATCCATGTCTTTGTAACAGTTCAAGGTATTTGGTTCTTGTCTTATTAGTGGTTACCGTAGTTCTTTGCAATATAAGATATCAGTCTGATCAGATGTCTTGTATATGTCACTGAAAGAAGGGTTTTTTTGCAAATTTGACTCAAAGCACAAAGTCAAACACAAAACTAACATTTTTTCTTTTACTTTTTTTTTGTCCTATTCACCCCAGTTGTTCACATTATTTACGAAAATACCATTACATTTTTTTTTTCGAAAACTGTTTTTTTTACTCTCTCAACCTCATCATCTTCATATATTTACAAGATTGTCATTGTCATCAGTACCCTAACTACCATAAAGAACCATTTTGAAGCTCTTAATGCACCTAAAATCGATTTACACTCTCTCTTTCTCAATTGTTATGAACTAAAAACAACATCTCTTTCACTTTGTCTCCATATTCATACAAAAAACTCAAGCTTTTGATTCAAAAAAATTTATGGTTGATACCATTTAAGCATACAATTCTTGGTGGGTTACTTTCGTTCGATGTTATGGGTGGTTGGAGAAGACTTTGTGTTCTAAGGAAGTCATCTCACCTAAGTTAAGGTATGAAATTGAATTTTTTTCAGATCTGTTCGCGTAGAAGATTTACTCGTAAGTCTTCTGAATGTAAAAGACTTACAGATAAGTCTTCTAATCAAATGGACGACTTACTCTAAGCCGTCCAGCTTTGTATGTTTAAAAAAAACTCTGGACGACTTATACGTAAGTCGCCTAGGAAAAACAGGCTAGTTTTGCATTTGACCGAATTGTGTCAGATATTTGACTTTTCCTGTACGACTTACCAGTAAGTCCTCTTTGGGAAAGTTAAAATTTCAATATTTTATTAAATCTAGACGAGTTACGGATAAGTCATCTTAGGTTAGTTTTGTAATTGAAAGATAAAACTTTAATTTTAAATTTTCTCAGAAGACTTAATTTAAACTCGTCCAATTAGACGACTTATTCTAAAGTCGTCTGAGATAAGCAAAGTCGTCCAGACTTTTTTCGAGATTTCTGGTCAAACCTTGTTTATCTCGGACGACTTTCGAATAAGTCTTCATACTGGACGACTTTAAATTAAGTCTTCTGGAAAAGTTAAAATTAAAGTTTTATTTTTTAATTACAAAACTAACCTAAGAAGAATCGATAAGTCGTCTACATTTAATAAAATATTGAAATTTTAACTTTCCGAGAGACGACTTATTGGTAAATCGTCTAGGAAAAATCAAATATCTGACATAATTCGGTCAAATGCATAACTAGCCCGTTTTTCCTAGACGACTTACTTATAAGTCGTCCAGATTTTTTTAAAAAAAAATACAAAGCTGGATGACTTAGAATTAAGTCATCTCATTTAAATTTCATTTGCAAAAATGACCTGTCTGGAAGACTTACGGTTAAGTCTTCCGAACGACTTACTTGTATGTCGTCTGCGTCAATGTTTAGCAAACTTTCATTTTCTCTATGTTTACTAATGTGTTTTTATTTTGAATTTTTGTAGATGATTCGTCAGTTACATGCAGTGTATTGAGAATGGTTGTTCAAAGATGGCTGTTGGGATTTTGTGGTTGATAATTTCAAAGGAGCGAGAATGTGTCTTTTGAGTGAAGGTTCGACACATGCTGAACTTGTTTCAATGGCTCAAGAAGATTTAACCTAGACATGAGCACAAAATATGTGGAGATAACCTACTCACTACCAGCAGAAATGATTCAACAGATGGATCCAGACATCCCTCCTATTCATGTTACTAGTGATAGACAAGTTCAAAACTTGCTCGAGATAACCAAAACGCATGGGGTACGGCTTTGTGTATCAAGCCGTAGCAAGGTGGAAACGGTTTCAGAGGAAATGGAAGAAGCTGATAAAGCTGATGGATGTTTTGAAAATGATGATGATGATTTGGTTAAAGATGGAAATCATGATGGGGAGGAGGATGATGGGGAGAAGGATGATGGGGAGGAGGATGATGATATCTCTAATGTTTCTGAAGCGGCCGAGAATGGTGAGGATTACAGTGTTTATGGAAAGGTTAAAGATGAGCATGAGGAAGAAGATGACTATATGTGTTTTGAAGATTTCAAAAAGACATATGCTATTGAAGGAGGAAGATCGAATGGTAACAATATCTATGTCAACCAGAGTTTTGTTAGCAAGAATGCACTGCTTTCAGAGCTACGGTTGACAGCAGTGAGGTGTAAGTTCTCCTTCAGAATATACAAGTCAACGAAAACTCTCCTTGTGGCAACATGTCAAGTTAGTGGTTGTGGATGGAAGATCAGAGCGAGTGTGAAACATAGGAAAAACACATTTTGGATAACAAAGTACGTGGAAACACATACATGCTCAGCGGAGACACTGTACTCCGAAGTATGTGGTAGGCTTTTCATTGATTGTGTTGGAATCATTGATGAGTTGACTCCGCAGCGTATCACTGATGCAATGAAGAACATGTTTGGCATGACGCTTGATTACACCACTTCATACATAGCTTTATATGCACAAACATTGGTGAGAGGATCAGCAGAAGATGGATATTCTCATCTGCCATCATATCTCGAGCGAATCTCCTTAGCAAATCCTGATTCTATCACGGCTATAGAACTTGATTCCATCAATAGATTTAAGTATCCATTTCTCTTTTTCGGAGCTTCTATCAAAGGTTTTAAGTATCAGAGAAGGGTCATTGTGGTGGATGGGACTCACCTAAGTGGGAAGTATGGAAGTATTTTGTTAGTTGCAGCCGCACAAGATGGAATTTTTAGATATTTCCATTGGCTTTTAGGATCGTAGATGCTGAAGATGAACTTTCATGGGAATGGTTTTTCACAAAATTGGCTACTTGTGTCTTTGATGAGCAGCCTCTGGTGATAGTCTCCGACCGGCACACGGCCATTAAAAGTGCGTGTGATAAGGTATTTCCTTGGGCAACCAGAGGAATATGTTATTATCACCTTCAAGATAACATTGTCAAAAAGTATAAAGGGAAACATCTCTTGTACTTGGTGAAAGGTGATGCTTATGCTCATACGGTTTCAGATTTTGACTGGTACATGGCTGAGATACGGAGTGCAGACCCGGACCTTGCAACGTATTTGGAGAATGCCGATGTTGGCCTATGGTCAAGGGTTTATTGTCAGGGGGACAGGTACAACATAAAAACAAGCAACATCGCTGAATCTATTAATTTCACACCGAAGCGAGCTAGAGGATTTATGATTCAGTTCCTGTTGGAGTTCATAAGGGAGAAGATAGGAAAGTGGTTTTGGAGAAGGAGAGAAGATGCTTTGAGTCTCCTAACAGATCATAGTCGGGGTGTTGAATACTTACTTGTTGTTCGATCGGAGATAGCATATACGATGAGGGCCCAACCAATTGATGGATGAAAATTCTTTGTGAAAGGTGGCAAAATGGACTGTGTGGTTGATTTGGAGAATGGAAAGTGGGATTGTGGTGTTTATCAAGTGGAGAAAACACCTTACGCTCATGCTATATCTGCTGGTTCACATGCTCGTGTGCATATCTCCACACTTGTACATCCAGTGTACTCAAAAAATTATTTGTTTGCATGATACTCAGTGAATATATATCCTTGTGCTGGACAACAAGTTGAGGAACGCACATGCGATCCTCCGGCCGAAAAGTGTGGTACGGGGAGAAAAAAGAAATCAAGATGGAAATCTTGGTTGGAGCTATCCCGGAGGAGAGGACGCAAACTCCGGAAGCAACACATGGTTTATAGATACTCAGTATGCAGAGAAACTGGCCATACAAAAGCACAATGTAAAGAATGACCTTTAATTAAGTCGTCTCGAAGAATTTGTGTTATGAATCTATGTATTAAGAATTTGTTTTATGAATATATGTATTAATAATTTTTGTTATGAATCTATGTATTAAAAATTTGTGTTATGAATCTATGTATTTAAGAATTTGTGTTATGAATTTGTGTTAGACTTTTTAGACGACTAATAATTAAGTCATCTGGAAAGTCTTCCAGCTGGATGATTTTTCAGACGACTTAATTATTAGTCTGCTACTAAGTCGTCCAGGCTTTATGAGTATGTATTAATAATTATGTCATTTAGAAAGTTTTCCAGCTGGATGACTTTCAAGACGACTTAATTATTAGTCTTCTACTAAGTCGTCTAGACTTTATGAGTATGTTTTAAGAATTTGTGTTAGTCTTCTCAGACGGCTAATAATTAAGTCATCTCGAAAGTATTCCAGCTGGATGACTTTCCAGACAACTTATTTATTAGTCTTCTACTGAGTCATCCAGACTTTATGAGTATGTATTAAGAATTTGTGTTAGTCTTCTCAAACGACTAATAATTAAGTCATCTGGAAAGTCTTCCAGCTGGATGACTTTCCAGAGGGCTTAATTATTAGTCTTCTACCAAATTTAAGAAACAAAAATACAAACATCAGCCTAATTAATTGAAAGTCTTCTGTGCAAAAATAATGTTACAACAAACAAAAAATACAACTAAACATCCTAAACATTAGCCTAATCAAGTTCAAATACAAACATACAAACATCAGTCTAATCATAAGCACCCATCTCCTCAAAATTATCCTTGTTTTACTTCACATGCTGGTCAGGGAGCTCAT